GTAGGTGAACTATAAATCCCAGCAACTACAACTCCCAACTGTCAAGGTCTATTTCCCCCAGACTCTTCCAGTGTTCACATTTGGGCATACTGAGCATTTGTGCCAAGTTTGGTCCAGATCCATCCTTGCTTGAGTCCACAGTGCTCCTCTGGATATAGGTGAACTACAACTCCCAAATTCAAGGTCAATGCCCACCAAACCCTTCCAGTGTTTCCTGTTGGTCATGGGAGTTCTTTGTGCCAAGTTTGGTTTAAATCCATCGCTGGTGGAGTTCAGAATGCTTTTTGATTATAGGTGAACTATAAATCGCAGCAACAACTCCCAAATTGCAAAATCAACCCCCCCCCCCCCAAACCCACTAGCATTCACATTTGGGCATATTGAGTATTTGTGCTCAATTTAGTCCAGTGAATGAAAAAATATCCTACGTATCGTATATTTACATTACGATTTATAATCGTACTAAAATGACAGGTATCAAGTAGCAACGAAAACAATATTATGGTTGGGGGTCACCACAACATATGGAATGGCATTAAGGGGTCCCGGCATTAGCAAGGTTGAGAACCACTGGTATAGTACAATATAGTAATATTTAATACTGATATTGTACTATGATAATAATATAATATATCGTATGGATATATATCTTGTAAGCCGCTCTGAGTCCCCTTCGGGGTGAGAAGGGTGGCATATAAATGTCGTAAACGAATAAATAAATAAATCCATTTAACTATCATGAAATCCTACTAAACTAGCATAAATCCCAGTATTGGTTTGTCCAATCTGCAAGATGAAATTGTTTCTGCAAGATGAAATTGAAGAGAAGGTTGCTTAGAGAGGTACGGTATGGTTGTAAAACTGGATAGCACCGTAGTAATTGCACATGATGCTGAAGTGTAGCATGAATCTTTGCATACTGACTCAGGGTTAACTTTGTGTGGCATGTCTTTCAATGTATCTGCTACTGCCAATTAATTCAAAGCAACAGTATTGTGTACGCAATGAGAATACACAGCATCTTTCTTTTTTTTAAAGAAGGGAAAGAAAGAAGTGAGCACCCCCTGGCGACTAAGAGAAAAATTTTTAATGCTTGTGTCGAAATATGTTCCTAGCAGCAAGGTTGGGCTGACATCATTTCTGAGCTATATTGGTTGTAACCATCATGACCTTCTTTATTTTCCTTCTCCTTCCATTTCTTTGATTATGTTAGATATTGTAAGCCGCTCTCATTCAAGAAAAGATCTAGAGTGGGGTATAGCTTTTTTAAAAAATCATGCATATCTATATAAATAAAAATGTAATGTTCGTTTGTGGTATTCACAGAACTCAAAAACCACTGGGGCAATTGGCACCAAATTTGGACACGATACCCCTAACAACCCAATGAATGTTCTCCACTAAAAAACCCACGAAAACAAAAAAAGCAGAAAGGACTTCTGAACTGCATGTCCACAAAGGAGAAACTGCATTTCTACAAAGAGACCCTTCTTTGCCAACACTTTCTTGCCTCCCTCCGTAATCTGCTCGGCTGTCTCCGGCAACACGAGCACACATTTAACACTCTCTCCCTCTCCCCTATTAACATCCGGACCATTAGGTAGCTGCCTCTGCCACACTCCACTCCTTCTCTCCCTCACTCCCTTCCCTTCTTTCCTCCCTTTCTTTCCTTCCCCCCTACTTCCTTCCTGTCCCTCCCTCCTTCCTTCCGTTCCTTCTCCTTCCTTTCCTTCTTTCCCTCCTGCCCTTCCTTCCTGTCCCTTCTTCCTTTCCTCCCTCCCTTCCTTTCCTCCTTCTTTCCCTTTCTTCATTTCTTTCCCCTTACTTTCCTTCCCTCCCTCCTTTCTTCATCCCCCTCCTTCTTCCCTCTTCCTTCCTTCTCCTTCCTTTCCTCTCTTCCTTTCTCCTTCCTTCCTGTCCCTCCTTCTTTCCTTTCCTTCCTTCCCTTCGTTCCCTCCTCCCTTCCCTCCCTTCCTTTTCCCTTCCTTCCTTCCTTCCTTCCTTCCTTCCTTCCTTCCTTCCTTCCTTCCTTCCTTCCTTCCTTCCTTCCTTTCCGTCTTTCTATGTAAGATATAAATACGATATTTTATATGTTGTTATATAGATTACTGTATAATATGTTACTATTATATATTACTACATAATACAAATTAAATATACTTACAGAATAGAGTTGGAAGGGACAGTCAGGAAGTAACGAGAGGAGGGAAAGAGGGAAGGAATGAAGGCAGGAAAGGGGGAAAGAGAGAAGGAGGGAGGGAAAGAAGGAAGGAAGGAAAGAAAGAAAGGCAGAGAAGCAAGAAAGGAGAGAAGGAAATAAAAAAGTGAAAGTAAAAAATACAGGGAAGGAAGGATGTAACCAAAGAGCAAACAAAGGGAGGAAAGAAACTGGCAGAGATGGAAGAAAGAAGAAGATAAATAGGAAGGGAAAGAAAAAGAGGAAAGGAAGGAGAGAAAGAGGGAGGGAAGGTTGGCCACAGCAACGCGTGGCGGGTACAGCTAGTTCTTCTTAAAACTCCATTAAAAATGCAATAAAGGTAAAATACATCATGATCCCAGCAAACTATTTGTACCATGTGCATTTACTTGGCATCAAAAAAGAATATAAAAGCAATGCCCTTTAGACCGTCTTTGGAAGGGTGTTCCCAAACTGAGACACCGCCTGTCCTTTCTAAATGTAAATTGTGCTTCTCTTGGTGATGAAACTCAGCCAGCATCTCCGCCCCCCCCCCCACCCGACAAACAGGGCACACAGAAAGGATATTATAATGAAGGGCAGTCTTCTTATTTGGCTCCCAAGCCATGTACGACTGGTAAGGAAGCAGCAGTATCTCAAATGCCTGTCCATCTGGATGAAAATTTACCAAGCAAGTCTGCATCCTTTTGATCCATCAGCAACAGAGGTATCTTGGAGTAATGCTAAGTGATCTTGAGTATATATACTTGGTTAAAATCCTAAGAATTGTCTCATAGAATCAGATTAAAAACTATAATTTCCAAAATAATTTTCAAAAACCCAGGACTAGATTGTCAACTTTCTGCCTGTTCCTCAGCAAATCCTGAGATCCAAATCTTCTTGTTCAGTGCAGCCCAACCTTGCTTTCTATATGGATCTTTCATTGAATCCAGAGCATGCTTGCCATAGATGCAGGCAAAATGTCAGGGGAGAATGCTTCTAGAACATGGCCATATAGCCCAAAAAACCTACAACAACCTATTATTATTATTATTATTGACACAAAAGCACAGTATGTCACAGCAAACGAGATCTATATGCTGGATTTCGTATCACAAAATCACAAGTCGAACACTTCCCAAGCGTCTAGGACTGTGTGATGTATTTTCAAATGATGCGCGCAGATCCAAGTAAGGTGGCCTTATTATTATTATTATTATTATTATTATTATTATTATTATTGTCGAAGGCTTTCATAGCTGGAATCACTAGGTTCTTGTGGGTTTTTTCGGGCTATAGGGCCATGTTCTAGAGGCATTTTCTCCTGACGTTTCGCCTGCATCTATGGCAAGCATCCTCAGAGGTAGTGAGGTCTGTTGGAATTAGGACAATGGGTTTATATATCTGTGGAATGGCAGGGTGGGGGACTCTTGTCTGCTGGAGCTAGGTGTGAATGTTTCAACTGACCATCTTGATTAGCATATAATGGCCTGACAGTGCCTGGAGCAAACTCTTGTTTCCTCTCTGTTGTTGTGCTGTTGTAATTTTAGAGGTTTTTTATAATACTGGTAGCCAGATTTTGTTCATTTTCATGGTCTCTTCCTTTTTATTATTATTATTTGAAACACAAGATGAGTCCACAGCAGACACTCTGCTGGCTGTTGTATTGGATCACACGTCAGACACTTTCCAAGTGTCTAGGACTGTGTGATGTATTTGGTGCTGTTGTACAGTTTTTATTACCGGTGGTTTTTTTATTGGCATATAAATAAGGCATGCAGATCCCAGTAAGGTGACCTTTTGCAGTTGGCAGATGGTAATCTTGTCAGCATCAATTGTGTTTAAGTGCAGGCCAACGTCTTTAGGCACTGCACCCAATGTGCCAATCATCACTGGGACCAACTTTACTGGTTTGTGCCAGAATCTTTGCAGTTCGATCTTTAAATCCTCACATTGTGTCATCTTTTCCAGTTATTTTTCTTCAATCCTGCTGTCACCCGGGATTGCAACATCAACAATCCATACTTTGTCTTTTAACACGATTGTGAGGTCAGGAGTATTGTGCTGCAAAACTCTGTCTGTCTGAATTTGGAAGTCCCGGAGTAGCTTGACGTGTTCATTCTCTGTAACTTTTTCCGGCTTGTGATCCCATCAGTTCTTTGTTGCAGGCAGATGGAATTTGTGGCACAAGTTCCAATGAATCATCTGAGCAATGGTGTTGTGCCTCTGCTTGTAGTCTGTCTGTGCAATCTTCTTGCAGCAGCTGAGGATGTGATCTATTGTTTCATCTGCTTCCTTGCAGAGTAATTAATAATAATAATGATAATGATAATAATTATTAATTATTATAATTAATTCTATTATTATTATTATTATTATTATTATTATTATTATTATTATTATTATTATTATTATTATTATTTCAAAGGCTGGGTAGCCATCTGTTGGGGCTGCTTTGATTCTGCTTTACCTGCATTGCAGAAAGAGGTTGGACTGGATGGCCCCTGGGTCTTCCACTGAAATACTGTTAAGTTTATGTTGATCTAAAAGTTTGCCCAAGCCTGATATATGATAAAATAATATATAAATATTATGGGGTTCCATGAGAAACTTTTGTTTCAAAAATGGCTCTGTGGTTGAAAAGGTTTGAGAACCTCTGATCTAAACACGTATAAGTTTGTGAAATTCCTGCAACTGTCTTTCAGGTAAACATGGTTAGGAAAATAGGGAAAGATATATTATGGTTGGTGAACATAACTCAAACTCATTTCCCCAATGGTTTTGAATGCTGTAAATCCCAACTAACAGTTGCTGTTTCTTCTAGCGGGTTACTGGCTGTATCCTCTCCAATGTGAACACGCCATCCCTGACTCCAGTGATTGGACAGCCACAGAATGAGACCCCACAGCCCATCTATCAGAACAACAACCTCGCAAACAAGCCCACTGCAGGTAGGTCCCCACGGGAAGCAACAAATTTGTCCAGGCTTCCTTAGAGGAGGCTGCAGAAACCTTCAGGGGTATAGATTTTCAAGCAGAGGCTACAGATGAGAGGAAAAAGGTAAACAAGACCATCTTATGTTGCCCGTGTAGAGTGAAGAGCCAGCCTCAGGCAGCTGAATTTGATTATCAAGAAAAGGCAACATGTCATTTAGTTTATTATTGCTGTAACTTTATTACCAGGGAAGGAAAGATGCGATTATGAGATTTTTGCCTCCTAGGTAAGATTTATACTGCTAGCTTGGGTTCCTATGTTACCCAGGACATGAGAAAAGGACTATATGCTGCTTTGCTTCAGGCCGCAAAATATCTGAGGCCAGATCTGCTCATAAAAGTTTTCAGATTGGAGCCAAACAATTGCTTTTCTCAGTTCTTCTCTGAATAGTACATTGAGACATCTGTTGTCTTCTCCAGTGCCTTCTGCCTTTCTCTCCTGCCTCTGCCATCCCAGTGGTGTTAAAGGTAAAGGTAAAGGTAGTCCCCTGACATTAAGTCCAGTCATGTCTGACTCTGGGGTATGGTGCTCATCTCCATTTCTAAGCTGAAGAGCCAGCATTGTCCGTAGACACCTCCAAGGTCATGTGGCCGGCATGACTGCATGGAGCGCCGTTACCTTCCCACTGGAGCGGTACCTATTGATCTACTCACATTTGCATGTTTTAGAACTGCTAGGTTGGCAGAAGCTAGGGCTGACAGCGGAAGCTCACACCGATCCCCGGAATCGAACCTGCGACCTTTCAATCAACAAGCTCAGCAGCTCAGTGCTTTAACCCACTGCGCCACCGAGGGCTCCCAGTGGTGTTAGGGACCTGCAATTCAGGATCTCTGTATTGGGCCCGGTCACAGGAGGCAGAAAGACAAACACCCAATTTCAGGAGAAGTACAAGAGCAAGGTTTATTTCTGTTATGATCATGATGAGATGGGCTAGCCATACCAAACACGCAGGTCTTGGTACTTTCAAGAGGCTGCTGCGCCCAGTGTCTCTCAGACATACATTATATAGACAAGACCCTTTGGCGCTGCAGCAAAAGTTATCCAATTACAAACTAGCACCTAGGCTTAATTCCTTATTTAGTACATTGATTAACTAACTTCTTTAATTCCTTATTTGGCACATTGACTGACTTCTTGTAAATCACATGATTTCTTGACAATGGAAAGTACAAATAGCTCTTTCCCCCATATATGGCTTTTTAGCCTTCTTCCTGAACTGTCTTCTGAAAGTTGTTGATTGCACATGTTTCTTAGGTGCTAACCACAAATGTTCCAGACAAGACAGTCCCTTAGTGGAAGCTAATTTCTAAATACAGAGGGGATACATTTTCAAAATAGAGGGAGAAACCGTGGAGGCCGTGACAGACTTTGTATTTCTAGGTGCAAAGATGACTGCAGATGCAGACTGTGGCCAGGAAATCAGAAGACGCTTACTTCTTGGGAGGAGAGCAATGTCCAGTCTCGATAAAATAGTAAAGAGTAGAGACATCACACTGGCAACGAAGATCTGCATAGTAAAAGAAATGGTATTCCCTGTAGCAACCTACGGATGTAAGTGTTGGACCAAAGGGAAGGCTGAACGAAGGAAGATAGATGCTTTTAAACTGTGGTGTTGGAGGAAAGTTCGGAGAGTGCCTTGGACTGCGAGAAGATCCAACCAGTCCATCCTCCAGGAAATAAAGCCCGACTGCTCATTGGAGGGAAGGATACTAGAGACAAAGTTGAAGTACTTTGGCCACATCATGAGGAGACAGCAAAGCCTGGAGAAGACAATTATGCTGGGGAAGGTGGAAGGCAAAAGGAAGAGGGGCCAACCAAGGGCAAGATGGATGGATGGCATCCTTGAAGTGACTGGACTGACCTTGAAGGAGCTGGGGGTGGTGACGGCCGACAGGGAGCTCTGGCGTGGGCTGGTCCATGAGGTCACGAAGAGTCGGAGACGACTGAACGAATGAACCAACAACATTTTCAACTTTGATTTTTCTAGGTTCGTGATTATTGCCCTATCAGTGGAAGATGCAGTGGCATAAGAAGGGCATCAGAAAATGATTAAAAATAGCCGTTATGCTTTCAATTCTGACTTAGCAATGGGTTGAAAGGTTCAGAGAGGCCGTCTTCATGGCAGGAATTAAGAAAGGTGAATAATGTGTAGATAGCTGGAACAGGTTCAAATAAGGCTATGGTGTCAAGTCAAAACAACTGAATTATTGAAAGGAGAGGCATTTTGAGATGACCAGGTGAATGAGGAGCAAAACTGGAAGTGAAGGGTATGTTTCCTTTTGAGATTGTAAGAGCACTGTAGAATTAGAGCAAGAGTCCATCTAGTAAATCTTGCTGGTGAATGTGAGTTTTGTATATAAATTGTTTTTGGTTATTTTTCCAAGCATACTTCATACTTTCTGGCAGAAATGGAACAGCCTCTCTCATTTAGGCTGTTGTCTGAAAACAATATTCTTACTAGAAATGCCTTGTGCAAATTATGTTGTGGAGAGGGTAAGCAAAGGCTCTAGTCTTGTGCTAGGATCAAGCTCTATGTTACATATAAAAGTATGTGGTAGGACCCCAACTGAGAGGTTGGAAAGAGTGCCAAGGGAAAGAACTTCTTCCCTTTTTTGCGCTAACCTTTCCCCCCTGCTTCAAAACCAACACTAACTCCCTGCTGCTTTCCTCCCTTCAGGGTTCATGCACATAACTTATACATATACACATCTAAAAGGATAGAAACATCTGAAGGCAGTTTTATATAGGAAAAGTTTTGGCAGAAAAAGAGTTATGTACGCCCTCACACATAAAATCTTAAGGCTGTTTTTCATTTAAAAGAAAAAAAATGCTGGTTATTAATATTTGTATGTAACCTGCAGTGTGCCCTTTATAACCTTATACCACCCTAAATTGCCCCGATTTTCTGGCCATCTTGACATGCTGGTGTAATGGTGTCCCACAGAGGTCTTCCCATGACACACAGCCACTTCAAACGGCTGTGTGTGGAAATCTGTCTCACCAGGTCTGGTCTAACCAAGGCAGAATAGAGGCGTAGCATGACTTCCCTGGATCTAGACACTAGACTCCTATTGATGCAGGCCAAAATCCCATTGGCTTTTTTGCCACTGCATCACATTGTTGGCTCATGTTTAACTTGTTGTCCACGAGGACCCCAAGATCTTTTTCACACGTACTGCTCTCAAGCCGTGTGAAATTGCTGCAACTGTCTTCCAGGTAAACATGGCTAGGATGGACTATACTTTTGTACACCCACTCATGCTAAATCTCAGAGTGAAGTTTTCAATTCTAATGATTTTCACTTAAATTTGATATTTTAATTTCTTTGATGTAGTTCAGGGTGGGGTGAAAAGGCTGGGGTGAAAATTGCTGGAAGAAACATTAACAACCTCAGATATGCAGATGACACCACCCTGATGGCCGAAAGCGAGGAGGAGCTGAGGAGCCTTCTAATCAAGGTGAAAGAAGAAAGCGCAAAAGCCGGGTGCAGAACACATCATGCGAGGATGTGCGGGGCTTGAGGAATGCAAAGCTGGGGTGGAAATGGCTGGAAGAAACATTAACAACCTCAGATATGCAGATGACACCACTCTGATGGCCGAAAGCGAGGAGGAGCTGAGGAGCCTTCTAATCAAGGTGAAAGAAGAAAGCGCAAAAGCCGGGTTGCAGCTAAACGTCAAAAAAACCAAGATTATAGCAACAAGAATGATTGACAACTGGAAAATAGAGGGAGAAACCGTGGAGGCCGTGACAGACTTTGTATTTCTAGGTGCAAAGATTACTGCAGATGCAGACTGTAGCCAGGAAATCAGAAGACGCTTACTTCTTGGGGAGGAGAGCAATGTCCAATCTCGATAAAATAGTAAAGAGTAGAGACATCACACTGGCAACAAAGATCCGCATAGTCAAAGCCATGGTATTCCCTGTAGTCACCTACGGATGTGAGAGCTGGACCTTAGGGAAGGCTGAGCAAAGGAAGAGAGAGGCTTTTGAGCTGTGGTGATGGAGGAAAGTGCTGAGAGTGCCTTGGACTGCGAGAAGATCCAACCAGTCCATCCTCCAGGAAATAAAGCCTGACTGCTCACTGGAGGGAAGGATACTAGAGACAAAGTTGAAGTACTTTGGCCACATCATGAGGAGACAGGAAAGCCTAGAGAAGACAATTATGCTGGGGAGAGTGGAAGGCAAAAGGAAGAGGGGCCGACCAAGGGCAAGATGGATGGATGGCATCCTTGAAGTGACTGGACTGACCTTGAGGGAGCTGGGGGTGGTGACGGCCGACAGGGAGCTCTAGCGTGGGCTGGTCCATGAGGTCACGAAGAGTCGGAGACGACTGAACGAATGAACAACAACAGTTCAGGACTGCCCAAACTGTAATGACAAATACTACCATCAGTATGTGAAATAAAGCCATTTGCAAAATACTGTTTCATTTTGAAGCACAAAACTGCTCACATTTTTTTGGCCATTGACTTTTCTCCCTTTCTCTGCTTCTTTTTTATTTTATTTTTTTAGTGAAGCTGTTGGGAAAAGTGGGTGAGAGCCTGAGCAGGATTTGCTGTGTTCGCCCCCCAATGGAGCGTTTCACCTTTGTGGGTAAGTTAAATTAATGTAACTTATCACTAGTAGTTAAAAATCATGACCTGTGAGTGGAAAAAAAAAATCAGTCATTGAAATTCTCCTGGACTCAATGACCAGAACCCTGTTGGTTAATCACACCTAGAGTAGACCCACCAAATTATTTATTGAATGGCAATTCAACACATACATAAACCTTATTGGTTCTGTGGATCGTTTCTAGTTGAGAGTTGCAGTTGGATTCCTCCCAACATTTCACAGATGATCATGCAATATTGGAATGTGGTCAAAATTACAAAAGTTGTGATTGGAAGAGGGACACAAAAGCTAGAATAACCTCAATCTCTGAAGTCTGGTACAGAACTACAACCTCTGCACTACATTGGTTGTCAACAGATCTGTTGCCATGTGTGTTACATAGCACCTATTGTTATCATTACCTTGAGTAGTGCTATTTAAAGTGTGGTCCCTGGTCCAGTACTCATCCACAAACTATCAGTTACAGATCCTTAGAGAGTTTCCAGGAAAGAAACAATTATTTGTATCTAGGGGATACAAATATGGTATCAGTCTCCACCACACTGAATGAAAAGGAATTCCCATTCTCGTACCTTAGATAGCACAAGTAGCACTGGTTTGGAACATTAATCTTAATTTCATTATTTTAACATTGTATTAGGAGCCCCCGGTGGCACAATGGGTTAAACCCTTGTGCCAGCAAGACTGCTGACTGAAAGGTCGGTAGTTCGAATCTGAGAAGTGGGGTGAGCTCCCATCTGTCAGCTCCAGCTTCTCATGCGGGGACGTGAGAGAAGCCTCCCACAGGATGGTAAAACATCCAGGCATTTCCTGGGCAACGTATTTGCAGATGGCTGATTCTCTCACACCAGAAGCGACTTGCAGTTTCTCAAGTTGCTCCTGACACAGAAAAAAAACATGTTTTAAGGACAGTTGTATGAATAAATGATTATTTACTTGTGATTTACATTAAACACTCAGAGCAGTGTATTAATGGATAGACCTGCCATGAACATTATGTTTTAAGTACAGTTGTATGAATAAATTATTATTTACTTGTGATTTGCATTAAACACTCAGAGCAGTGTATTAATGGATAGACCTGCCACAGGTTTTGTGAAATCTAAGTTCCCCCTTGTTCTTTTTCTCTCTCTTCCTCCCACCCAGATGAGAATGCAAATTTGGGGACAGTGATGAGATATGAAGAAATTGGTAAGTCAAGATCAAAGTTTTTAAAAACCCCATATTTACTAAATGTGACAGAGGAAAGGGGTTCCTTCCAAAACCATTAGTGTCAGGAACCAAAGGTGACAATTATCCTAGGGCACCAAATGGCATGTGATATGGATGTTTTGTGACTGGTTCCCTGTCTCCTCCTTGTACAGGAGGTGGCTGTAGGGAGATCAGATTTATATAGGGGAAAGTAATCCTTTGTCAACTTTCTGTGGTCACAACCCCACCACTGTTGTTAGCCACAACAAGGAAAATATATGGAATGAATAATACTCAGTCAAACTGAATCAAAGCCACCATCTATCTCTTTTTCTCTGTACACGTATGTGTAGTGTTGCCAGACTAAAAACTGGAAGCAGCTCCTCACCCTTTAACTGATGTGAAGAAAGATGAATTTCAACAGGTGTTGTTTGCCATGCAACCCAGACAAAAAGTAATACCTGTTAAAATTATTTTTTCTATACTGCCATAGAAGGACAGAAGCCATCTCCAGTTTTCACTCTAACAACCGTATGTGTGAGAGTGAATTCACATCAGATTAGAGCAAAGTAAGGAAAGGGGTTTTTTTCCCATTGTAAGGGCCAGACTGCCAGCACAGAAGCCTTGAAGGTGGTGGGATGTCCTATGCTAGGATTTAATACATCCAGATGAATATGGCCATTCCACGTGGCATACACTAATGACACAAACACACAGGTACACATCCTGTGACTCTGCTTCTCCCTGGTTTTCTGATCAATTTGTGATAAGCAGATAATTTGTAAGAGCTTGAAGGTGGTTTCAACAAGCCTTTGGGAATGACCAGTTCTAGCCTAGCCTCAAACATTGTTGCATATGGCCTTATACTTCCTACCTATTACCCCGATCATCCCTCTAATAGGCCCTAGAAATGAGCAGCCACAGACCCATACCTGCTATTGCTGTTAGCCTGTTATAGCACTACACTTAATTCCTGACCCCCTCGTAGTTTGGGTTTGCACTAGCCTTGGCCTGGCCTTTTAATTGCTCTGAACAGGAAGGATTATTTTTAATATATATATATGTTATTGTGATAATTTTATGCTTATGTTGTTTTGTTAATTTTATGTTATGCTGTTTACTCTGTATGTTTTTGGTGATGTTACTTGGAAACCGCCCTGAGTCCCCCTCGCAGAGATAGAGCGGTATATAAATAAATAAATAAATAAATAAATAAATAAATAAATAAATAATTATTATTATTATTATTATTATTGACACAAAAGTATAGTATATCACAGCAAATGAGATCTATATGCTGGATTTCGTATCACAAAATCACAAGTCGAACACTTCCCAAGCATCTAGGACCGTGGGATGTATTTTCGAATGATGCGCTTAGATCCAAGTAAGGTGGCCTTTTGCAGTTGACAGATCGTGATTTTGTCGATGTTTATTGTTTCCAAATGCCGGCTGAGATCTTTTGGCATGGCACCCAGTGCGCCAATGACCACTGGGACTACCTGTACTAGTTTATGCCAGAGTCGTTGTTGTTGTTGTTGTTGTTGTTGTTGTTATTGTTGTTGTTGTTGTTGTTATCTGGGATCAGATCCTGGGATATACTTAGGCGATCCCTCGTTTTCCAAGGATGATTGTCTTCCAATATTCTTGTGGGTCTATATGCGGCTGTGGAGCCCTATTCTTGCTCTGCATCTTCTTCCTCAGTGAGGGCATTGGTTTCCAGGTGGAAGGCGGTCTCGGTCAGGGTTGGCTTGACGCGCCTTCCTCTTGGCACGCTTCTCCCTTTCACCCTCCATTCCTGCCTCTTCAAATTCTGCAGCACTGCTGGTCACAGCTGACCTCCAGCTGGAGCGGTCAAAGGCCAGGGCTTCCCAGTTCTCAGTGTCTATGCCGGAGTTTTTAAGGTTGGCTTTGAGCCCATCTTTAAATCTCTTTTCTTGTCCACCAACATTCCGTTTTCCATTCTTGAGTTTGGAGTAGAGCAACAGCTTTGGGAGACGGTAGTCAGGCATCCAGACAACGTGGCTGGTCCAGCGGAGTTGATGGCGGAGGACCATCGCTTCAATGCTGGTGGTCTTTGCTTCTTCCTGGGATATAGAGGCAGTGTGGAAGGGGCCTAAGAGTTGCACAAACATTCCATGTTCCTTGGCAGATAGAATTATATTTCTCAACACTTATGGTGTCACATAATTTCTGTAAGCAAGTGCTCCTCTGATATGTGGGTCCACACATAGAGAAACACATGCATTCCAGCGATAAGGCTGCAGTGATTTCAAAGAAGGATGAAGAACACATGGCCTTCCGTGTCTTGTTGGACTATCTCCCAGCATTCTTCACCATTAGCTATAATGCATAAGGTGGCTGGGAAGTGCCGGTCAACAGCATCTGGGAGGTCATGTGTTCCCAAGCTCTGGTTTAATAATTTGACAAATGCAGAATTCCTAGCTGCTCCTTCATTGAAATGAATCTGAAGTTACTTCCAGTTTATTTTTCACTAGTTTTCTACTAGTTTGTGGGGAGGCGGTTGTGAAGGGCCAATTCTACCACTGAGATATCTTTTGATGTGTTTGGGTGATAGCTTTGATTGATTTGGAGGAATTTTCTGCCTGGAATTTTAAAATCTGCCCCATATAATGGCCTCGAAGTGGCTTGGGGAGATACACTTTGCCTACCCCTCTTATATCAATTTGAATCTAAGGAGAAAAGTAATCTTTCCTTGAGCTGTTTTTAAAAAAGAGTTCATATATTTTGGTTTTTCAGAACTGAAATGACTCCTAGAAGTCATCATTTTGAGCACACATCCTGTCCTGACAGGCACATTAACAGACGTCCTGCCTGCAGCAAGCAGTACATGTAATCTGCTTACACAGTCCATTTGAGAATTGCTACAACACTCTATAAGAATTGTCTCAATCATTCCAGAGGCTACTTACAATAGCAGCACAATCATGCAAAGCACACAGAATGAAGGTGCTCCTGAGAGGCAACCAAGCCTGAAAACAATATGAGAAACAGTTCTCTGTCAAAAACTCGCTGTCCTGCAGGTCTTGAGAAAGAGATTAGTACAGGCCTATTATTTGAGAACAATGTCTGTATCTCAGTGCCTCTTTCTTCTCTCCTGCAGAGCTCCGAATCCTGCTGCTGTGTGGCAGTGACTTGCTAGAATCCTTTTGCATCCCAGGCCTGTGGAATGAAGCTGATGTGAGTAGTTACAAGGAGATGGTCAAAGCTGTGGCCTGCTGTTGTTTCTTCCTTTGCTCTCTTTCTCTTGCCCTTGCTTTGTGATGATTCATTCCCACCATCTTCTGACATCCCAGCAGCCACTGATATTCTCATCATTTAGTTTCCATGTAGTTTTTAATGTAACAACAAAATCACATGGTGGTATTTCTGCTTCCAGTCTCCTTTCACCTTTGCATGAAGCCTCCATTTTCAATGTATTGTCAACGGTTTCAGTCCAACTTACCTTTCCGAACTGGACACAGTATTCCAGATGAAGTATGATCATGCAGAATATAGTGGTACTGTTTCTTCCCTTAATCTAGACCAGGGGTCCTCAAACTAAAGCCCGAGGGTTGGATACGACCCTCCAAGGTCATTTACCAGGCCCTTACTCAGGATCAACCTAAGTCTGAAACGACTTGAAAGCACACAACAACAACAATCCTATCTCATTAGCCCGTACCTTGGGAAGTCTGACTTGGCCATGGTGGTACACGCTCTGGTCACATCCCGCCTTGACTACTGCAACGCTCTCTACGTGGGGCTGCCCTTAAAGACGGCCCGGAAACTTCAGCTAGTCCAGCGCGCGGCAGCCATGTTACTAACAGGAGCGGGACGCAGGGAGCATACAACGCCCTTGCTGTTCCAGCTCCACTGGCTGCCGATTTGCTACCGGGCCCAATTTAAGGTGCTGGTGCTATCCTACAAAGCCCTAAACGGTTCCGGCCCAAAATACCTTTCGGACCGCATCTTGGCCTATGAGCCCACGAGGACCTTGAGATCGTCTGGGGAGGCCCTTCTCTCGATCCCGCCTGCTTCACAGGCACGTCTGGCGGGGACGAGAGAAAGGCCTTCTCGGTGGTGGCCCCCCGGCTGTGGAACGACCTCCCTGCTGACATCAGACAGGCGCCCTCCCTTCTGTCCTTCCGTAAGAGCCTGAAGACCTGGCTATTTGAGAAGGCATTCAACTGAGCGCTACGGCAACTGGTAATTGACAACTGGAACGGAATACGGATTACGATATTAGTTATGATTCTATGATGTGACGGAGCGGATTATTTAGTGTAACTAGATTATAGTGTATTATTGTTGTATTGATTTCCTGTTTTGCCCTTTTGTAAACTGTTTTTATATGTTGTGCACCGCCGCGAGTCGCCCTAGGGCTGAGAGCGGCGGTCAATAAATGCAGTAAATAAATAAATAATAAATAAAAGCAGGCACACACTTCCCATTGAATTACTAACAAGTTTATATTTCTGTTCAACAACAACAATCCTATCTCATTAGCCAAAAGCAGGCACACACTTCCCATTGAATTACTAACAAGTTTATATTTCTTAAAATTGTTCTTCATTTTAATTATTGTATTGTTTTAAGTGTTTTTTTCACTACAAATAAGATATGTGCAGTATTCACGCCCCCAGCGGCCTTCAAGAAGAGCTGTGCTTAGCCATGCCCACCTCGTCCCGCTGCATTGCCATTCGCCGTCAGAGAAGGGAAACTGCGAGATTTTAAAACTAACACTGTTTGTTTAGGCTTTCTGGCGTTGCCAAAGTTACTTAATGGTTCTGGAGGGCATCTTCCATTAACGAAGCGATTTGGATTTCTGATATTTCCAATCTTTTTTCAAGAAAATTTCAGAAATCATTTCAAAATTGAACCGCCAGCGTCCCCTACATCCGAAACGAGTATTGAACCTTTTATTTTTTTTGATCAAACAAGCCTAATAGCCATATGTGAGAGGAAGTCATAGGGAGGAGGGAGCAAGTTTGTTTACTGCTGCCCTGGAGACTAGGACACGGAACAATGGCTTCAAACTGGCTGGGCCTAGTCCTGTTCAACATCTTTATTAATGACTTAGATGAAGGGCTAGAAGGCATGATCATCAAGTTTGCAGAGCAACACCAAATTGGGAGGGATAGCCAATACTCCAGAGGACAGGAGCAGAATTCAAAACGATCTTGACAGATTAGAGAGATGGGCCAAAACTAACAAAGTGAAGTTCAACAGTAACAAATGCAAGATACTCCACTTAGGCAGAAAAAAAAATGCAAAGATACAGAATGGGGGACAATGCCTGGCTCGAGAGCAGTACGTGTGAAAAAGATCTTGGTCCTCGTGGACAACAAGTTAAACATGAGCCAACAATGTGATGTGGCGGCAAAAAAAGCCAATGAGATTTTGGCCTGCATCAATAGGAGCATAGTGTCTAGATCTAGGGAAGTAATGCTACCCCTCTTCTGCTTTGGTTAGACCACACCTGGAATATTGTGTCCAATTCTGGGCACCACAATTCAAGAGAGATATTGACAAGCTGGAATGTGTCCAGAGGAGGGCGACTAAAATGATCAAGGGTCTGGAGAACAAGCCCTATGAGGAGCGGCTTAAAGAGCTGGGCATGTTTAGCCTGAAGGAGAGAAGGCTGAGAGGAGACATGATAGCCATGTATAAATATGTGAGAGGAAGTCATAGGGAGGAGGGAGCAAGCTTGTTTTCTGCTTCCCTGGAGAATAGGACGCAATGGAACAATGGCTTCAAACTACAAGAGAGGAGATTCCATCTGAACATGAGAAAGACCTTCCTGACTGTGAGAGCCGTTCAGCAGTGGAACTCTCTGCCCCAGAGTGTGGTGGAGGCTCCTTCTTTGGAAGCTTTTAAACAGAGGCTGGATGGCCATCTGTCAGGGGTGATTTGAATGCAATATTCCTGCTTCTTGGCAGGGGGTTGGACTGGATGGCCCATGAGGTCTCTTCCAACTCTAGGATTCTATGATTCAAGGTACGCATACAGCTCAGCACAGTGGAACACAGTAGGAAAGAGAAATCCTATATTATGATGGATTGGGTCAATAAAGGAAGCCGTGGCCCTGGGTTTGCAAGGCCTGAACAGAGTTCTTAATGAACAGGACTCACGGAGACCTCTCTTTTACAGTGTTGCTTTATGTCCAAACCAAATTGACAGAAAATTACAGCAACCAATCGTACATCACTTTTTGTGTCAGGGTAACTGTCATGACTTCCTCCCAAGTGTTTTGGGAACTGATTTCCAAAACTCCGCTCATGGTTGTTCAGTTCCCAGGGCATCTTAGAGAAATGAAACAATAGCTCAGCCAGTAAATAAATATGCCCCGACATGCTTTAAAGCACTTTCTGGAAAGATGACTGAGCTGAGTGTTCAATTTAGAAGACAAATGGATCCAAGTGCACTTAAGCATGTGAAATCAGTCTTCACTGGGCATAAGTAACTCAGAAGCTTATGCACACTCGAAAGAATACAAACAAAGTATTCCTTCCTGTATTGTCGAAGGCTTTCATGGCCGGAATCACTGGGTTGTTGTAGGTTTTTTCGGGCTATGGTCTAGAGCAGAGGTTCACAAACTTTTTAAACAAGACCCCTTAATACAGTTCCTCATGTTGTGGTGACCCCCAAACATAAAATTATTTTCATTGCTACTTCATAACTGTAATTTTGCTACTGTTATGAATCATAATATAATATCTGATATGCAGGATGTATTTTCATTCACTGGACCAAATTTGGCACAAATACCCGATATGCCCAAATTTGAATACTGGTGGGGTTGAGGAGGATTGATTTTGTCATTTGGGAATTGTAGTTGCTGGGGGTGAATACTGGTGGGGTTGGCAGGGGATTGATGTTGTCATTTGGGAATTGTAGTTGCTGGGATTTATAGTTTACCTACAATCAAAGAGCATTCTGAACTCCAACAATGGAATTGAACCAATCTTGCCACACATAACTCCCTTGACCAACAGAAAATACAGGAAGGGTTTGGAGGGCATTGACCTTGAGGTTTGGAGTTGTAGTTCGCCTACATCCAGAGAGCACTATGGACTCATACAATGATGGGTCTGGACCAAACTTGCCATGAATACTCAACATGCCCAATGTGAATTAACACTGGTGGAGTTTGGGGAAAATAGACCTTTGCATTTGAGAGTTTCAGTTGCTGGGGTTTATAGTTCACCTACAGAAAATGGGGGGGGGGGGGGGGGGGTGGGGGGGTGTCGCGGTTTGTAGAGGCTGGGATTTATAGTTCACCTACAATAAAAGATCATTCTGATCCCCACCAATGATAGAATTGGGCCAAACTTCCCACATGGAACCCCTATGACCAACAGAAAATACTATGTTTTTGGATGGTCTTTGGCGACCCCTCTGAAACCCCCTCGTGACCCCCCCAGGGGTCCCGACCCCCAGGTTGAGGACCCCTGTTCTAGAGGCATTGTCTCCTGACGTTTCGCCTGCATCTATGGCAAGCATCCTCAGAGGTAGTGAGGTCTGTAGGAACTAGAAAAGGGTTTATATATCTGTGGAATGACCAGGGTGGGACAAAGAACTCTTGTCTGCTGGAGCTAGGTGTGAATGTTTCAACTGACCACCTTGATTAGCATCTGATGCCTTGGCAGTTGTTTGGTGTGGCTTGTTAGTGCCACACTAAAAAAACTGCCAGGCCATCAATTTATTTATTTATTTATTTCGTATACTTCAACCCCGCCCTTCTCAACCCCCGAGGGGGGACTCAGGGCGGCTTACAAAAAGGCACATCTTGGTGCCTACACAAATACAATAACATATAAAACCAGCAATTAAATGGTCAGCAATTAAAATAGTTAAAACAACAACATATCACACAATCAGTAGCCAATCTCAGACACAGCGTTCGCCAGTCTCAGAGTTCATATTTCGTTCCACCTTGTCCAATTCCTATCTATAGTCACAGTCCTTTATTCATCTGCCAGATTGCCCAAACACCTGGTCCCACATCCATGTTTTTAATTTCTTTCTGAAGGAAAGGAGGGATGTTGCTGATCTAATCTCCCCGGGGAGTGAATTCCATAGGTGAGGGGCCACCACTGAGAAGGCCCTGCTCCTCGTCCCCACCAATCTCACTTGTGACAGAGGCGGGGTCGAGAGCAGGGCCTCCCCAGAGGATCTCAGACTCCGAGGTGGGACGTAGAGGGAAATGCGTTCGGACAGATACGCTGGGCCAGAACCGTATAGGGTTTTGTAGGTCAAATCCAGCACTTTGAATTGTGCTCGGAACTGGATCGGCAGCCAGTGGAGCTGGCACAACAGGGGGGTAGTATGCTCCCTGTATGACGCTCCAGTGAGCAATCTGGCTGCCTCCCGCTGGACTAATTGAAGTTTCCGAACAGTCTTCAAAGGCAACCCCACGTAGAGTGCGTTGCAGTAATCTATCCAGGATGTAACAAGAGCGTGGACCACCGTGGCCAGATCCGACTTCCCAAGGTATGGGCGCAGCTGGCGCACATGTTTTAATTGTGCAAAAGCTCTCCCGGCCACCGCCAAGACCTGGGGTTCCAGGCTCAGCGATGAGTCCAGGATCACTCCCAAGCTGCGAACCTGCATCTTCAGGGGGAGTGTAACCCCGTCTAACACAGGCTGTAACCCTATACCCTGTTCGGCCTTACGACTGACCAGTAGGACCTCTGTCTTGTCTGGATTCAGTTTCAATTTGTTAGCTCTCATCCAGTCCGACACAGCAGCCAAGCACCGGTTCAAGGTCTGGACGGCCTCCTTGGTGACAGGTGAGAAGGAGTGCTAATCAAGGTGCTAATCAAGGTGGGCAGTCGAAACATTCACACCTAGTTCTAACAGACAAGAGTTCTTTGTCCCACCCTGGTCATTCCACAGATATATAAACCCATTTTCCTAGTTCCAACAGACCTCACTACCTCTGAGGATGCTTGCCATAGATGCAGGCGAAACGTCAGGAGAGAATGCCTCTAGAACATGGCCGTATATTCCTTCCTGGTCCTAAAGTGTGTTCTTTTTATCTTGTAACAGATGGAGGTAATAGTTGGGGACTTTGGCATTGTTGTTGTACCACGAGATGGTGCTGACACAGACAGGATCATGAATCACTCCTCAATACTTCGCAAGTACAAAGTAAGTCCTACGTCTACACTTTGCTTCCTGCCTTCACTAATGTCATTTCACTTAACCCTTTTCCCACTTTAGGTATATTTTGTGTCAGATGACTGTTTAAGGCAGTGTTGGGCAATTGTAGCAATGCTGATTTTGTGTGTTGGAGTGGGGAGATACACCTCCCTTCAGCCTCATCAGCATAGTGAATGGTTAGGATTGTGGATGCTTCAGACCAAAGTGGATGTAGGACTATAATTGCCCAGACTTGTTTTAAGCAAGGTGAGAAATTTAGAACCTTACCTCTATGAGGAAATGGAGACAACTTGGTGATGTTATTTCATGTACTGTACTTCTTGGGAGGAGAGCAATGTCCAGTCTCGATAAAATAGTGAAGAGTAGAGACATCAGACTGACAACAAAGATCCGCCTAGTCAAAGCCATGGTATTCCCTGTAGTCACCTACGGATGTGAGAGCTGGACCTTAGGGAAGGCTGAGCGAAGGAAGATCGATGCTTTTGAACTGTGGTGTTGGAGGAAAGTGCTGAGAGTGCCTTGGACTGCGAGAAGATCCAACCAGTCCATCCTCCAGGAAATAAAGCCCGACTGCTCACTGGAGGGAAAGATACTAGAGACAAAGTTGAAGTACTTTGGCCACATCATGAGGAGACAGGAAAGCCTAGAGAAGACAATTATGCTGGGGAAAGTGGAAGGCAAAAGGAAGAGGGGCCGACCAAGGGCAAGATGGATGGATGGCATCCTTGAAGTGACTGGACTGACCTTGAGGGAGCTGGGGGTGGTAACGGCCGACAGGGAGCTCTGGCGTGGGCTGGTCCATGAGGTCACGAAGAGTCGGAGACGACTGAACGAATGAACAACAACAACAACAAGTTCCATTGACTGTCAAATAATAGGCATATTGTCATTTTATATGGAACAAGAAATTTTTGCACTGCAAAGCCTTCTCTTCTGCCTTTTCTACTGCACGAATAAGTAGCAAAGCAAACGCCTGTTAACGATGGTGCAAGGGTTGAATGAAAAGTAATGCCTCCATCTTCGTAACTTCTAAACAGATGGCAGTACTGGTATGCGGCAAGTACTGGCTTGTTCAGTAGACTCTCCTTAGCATTGAATGGTTGTGTTGTTAAAGTGCAAAGTATGGAACCCTGCTCAGACGGTGGGTCAATGTGACTTGAGCAACGTTCAGTCATTGAATTCTTTTTTTTTTTTTGCATATGAAATGGCTAACACGGGTGTTTATTAAAATGTATCATGAACTCAGTCATTTATTAAAATGTATCATGAATTCAGTCATTGAATTCTTGAAAGCAGAAGGTGTCACCCCAAAGGAGATTCATCAGAGAATGCAAGCTGTTTATTTATTTACTGTATTTGTATACCGCCTTTCTCAGCCAATCGGCGAGTCAAGGCAGTTTCCAACAAATCAGTACATATAAAAACATAATACAGATTAAAACATTAAATAATGTAAAACACCACAAAAGCAATAAAGACAACATCATTAGCATCTCATTATTATCAAGCATTGTCCAGTTCCATTGTCAAATCGTTCAATTTCCTATATTAGCTACTCTGCATTTGTAAACGCTTGCTCAAACAGATATGTTTTAGCTTGCCTCCGAAACGTTAAGAGGGAGGGAGCAGATCTAATCTCCCTATGGAGGGTGTTCCATAGCCGAGGGGCCACCACTGAGAAGGCCCTGTCTCTCGTCCCCGCCAAACGTACTTGAGACGAAGGCGGGACCGGGAGCAGGGCCTCCCCAGACTATCTTAGAGTCCTCGATGGTTCGTAAGGGGAGACACATTTGGACAGGTAAGTTGGGCCAGAACCGGTTATGGTGATTGTGTTGATGTGAGTACTGTGCGTTGTTGGGCAAGTAAGTTTAAAAATGTAGTGGTGTGAACATCTGACTTGCATGACAAACAAAGAGTTGGACATCCTGTGACAGCAACTACTGAGTTTCACAAGCAAAGGGTTGACAGATTAATTCAGGATAATCGTCATATCACTCAGAGAGAAATTTCAAGCATAATCGGCATTTCAGAAGGACGTGTGGGTCACATTATTGCTTTGTTTGGCTATTGGAAGTTCTGTGCGCAATGGGTACCCAGGATGTTGACGCCTGAAATGAAAGCGCACAGACTTCTTCCGTGACAGCTTCAGAACACTTGTTCATCGTTGGCAGAAATTTATCCAATTGTCTGGTGACTGTGTGGAAAAGTGAATAGTGGTAGTTAAAGAGCACATTCTAAGGATTATTTCTGCATTTGATTTATTAAAATATTCCCATCCAAACCCAAGTAACGAAGGTGGAGGCATTACTTTTCATTCAACCCTCATATATTACATGTCGGATTTCAACCTGGGCATGTCAAGCAGCACCAGGGAATTATTGTTTAACAAGCAACTTAACCATGTGTCGGAAGCCTCTGGGATGGAAAAAAAAAACATAACCAAGATACCTGGTGTCCTTTCCCTGGTTTATTATTCAACTCTATTTTAATTCTACTCTACTCTGTTTAATTTGTATGATGAGGATCCTGGCAGGAATGTCTTCCTACTTTAACTAATTTACGGTGCCATAAAAATCTCCAGCAAGCATGCAAAGAATGAGGAAGTACTCCATCAGTGTCACAAATGGACGGTGAAGCGACCGCTCCCCTGGTGGCCAGAATACCCTCATGAAGCTGGAATGTTAAATGGCCTCTGTGTGTCTGCCTATATCTGTTGTGTGTCTATGGCATTGAATGTTTGCCATTTATATGTACATTGTAATCAGCCCTGAGTCCCCTGCGGGGTGAGAAGGACGGAATATAAATACTGCAAATAAATAAATAAATACCCATGTTCTGTCAATGGTTTTTCCACAGAACAATATTCTGGTCGTGAAGGACGATGTGAATCACCCCATGGCTATTGTCAGTTCCACCAAAAGCAGGTAGGTGAAGTGAGGGCACTTGGAGTGCCTCTGGTGTTGCCGCAAGGAGCTCCTCCATTGTGCATGTGGCAGGACTCAGGTTGCATCGCAGTAGGTGGGCAGTGGTTTGTTCTTCTCCACACTCTCATGTTGTGGATTCCACTTTGTAGCCCCAATTCTGAAGGTTGGCTCTGCATCTCGTGGTGCCAGAGTGCAGTCTGTTCAGCGCCTTCCAAGTCACCCAGTCTTCTGTGTGCCCAGGGGGGGAGTCTCTCATTTGGTATCAGCCATTGATTGAGGCTCTGGGTTTGAGCCTGCCACTTTTGGACTCTCGCTTGCTGAGGTGTTGCAGCGAGTGTCTCTGTAGATCTATTTCTAGATTTAAGTCATTGGCGTGCTGGCTGATGCCCAAACAAGGGATGAGCTGGAGATGTCTCTGCCTTGGTCCTTTCACTATTGGCTGCTACTTCCCGGAGGATGTCAGGTGGTGCAATACCGGCTAAGCAGTGTAATTTCTCCAGTGGTGTATGGCGCGGACACTCCGTGATAATGCAGCATGTCTCATTAAGAGCCACATCCACTGTTTTAGTGTGGTGAGATGTGTTCCACACTGGGCATGCATACTCAACAGCAGAGTAGCATAGCGCAAGGGCGGATGTCTTCACTGTGTCTGGTTGTGATCCCCATGTTGTGCCAGTCAACTTTCGTATGATATTGTTTCTAGCACCCACCTTTTGCTTGATATTCAGGCAGTGCTTCTTGTAGGTCAGGGCACGGTCCAGAGTGACTCCCAGGTATTTGGGTGCTCTGCAGTGCTCCAATGGGATTCCTTCCCAAGTAATCCTCAGAGCTCGAGCTGCTTTTCTGTTCTTAAGGTGAAAAGCACATGTCTGTGTTTTAGATGGATTAGGGATCAGCTGGTTTTCTCCTGTAATATGCAGTAAGAGCACCTAGAGCTTTGGAGAGCTTCTATTCAACCATCTCAAAGCTCCCTGGTTGAGCAGTAATGGCACAATCATCAGCATAGATGAAACTCCCTGTCCCTTCTGACAGTGGCTGGTCATTTGTGTAGATGTTGAACATGGATGGAGCAAGCACGCTCCCCTGAGGCAGGCCGTTCTTCTGTTTCCGCCATCTGCTTCTCTGTCCCTGGAACTCAACAAAAAAGCTCCTGTTTTGTAGCAGGTTTCCTATGAGGCGGGTGAGGTGGTCGTCCTTTGTGATACTATACATTTTTCTCAGGAGGAGGCGGTGGTTCACAGTATCATAAGCCGCTGACAGGTCTATGAAGACAGTTCTTGTGATCTGCTGCCTATATGGCCATGTTCTAGAGGCATTTTCTCCTGACGTTTTCGCCTGCATCTATGGCAAGCATCCTCAGAGGTAGTGAGGTCTGTTGGAAATAGGAAAATGGGTTTATATATCTGTGGAATGACTGGGGTGGGGCAAAGAGCTCTCTGCTGAAGCTAGGTGTGAATGTTTCAGCTGACCACCTTCATTAGCATTTGAAGGCTTGGCTGAGCCTGGGAAAATGTTCTGTTGAGAGGTGTTAAGATGTGCCTGGTTGTTTCCTCTCTGCTGTTTGCTGTAGTAATTTTAGAGTTTTTTAATACTGGTAGCCAGATTTTGTTCATGTTCATGGTCTCCTCCTTTCTGTTGAAATTGTCCACATGCTTGTGGATTTCAATGGCTTCTCTGTGTAGTCTGACATGGTGGTTGTTGGTGTGGTCCAGCATTTCTGTGTTCTCAAATAATATGCTGTGTCCAGGTTGGTTCATCAGGTGCTCTGCTATGGCTGACTTCTCTGGTTGAAGTAGTCTGCAGTGCCTTTCATGTTCCTTGATTCGTGTCTGGGCAACGCTGCTGCGTTTGGGGGTCCCTATGTAGACTTGTCCACAGTTGCATGGTATACGGTAGACTCCTGCAGAGGTGAGAGGATCCCTCTTGTCCTTTGCTGAACGTAGCATTTGTTGGATTTTCTTGGTGGGTTTGTAGATTGTTTGTATGTTGTGTTTCCTCATCAGCTTCCCTATGCGGTCAGTGGTTCCCTTGATGTATAAATAAATGGTGGGGTATAAATAAATTATTATTATTATTATTATTATTATTATTATTATTATTATTATTGGCTGCAATTTTTCCAGCTTCTAAGAAATTGACCCCTTTTCTCCCTCCCTGCTTGTTTCCTCTGCAGACTGGCTCTTCAGCATGGCGATGGGCATGTTGTGGATTACCTGTCTCAACCAGTCATCGATTACATCCTCAAGAGTCAGCTGTACCTGAATGCCTCTGGATAAAGCTCCTCCGGCATTGCAACAAAGGAGTCCAATCGCTCAACTTTCTTACGGTTATTCATCACAGTTCTCTTCCTCACTCTCTCTTTTCTTTTTCTTTTTCACTGCCTCTTGCGTGCATCTGCCTCTTTCACTCTGATGTCCCCACCTCACCCCTTCCCACTCAAGTGCAGGGAAGTGCTGCATACAACCAGGCAACTGAGTGCATCTACACCATCAAGCTGTCCTTTTCCCCACAGTGAAGAGGAAGAACAGGATTGAGTATCAGGTGCCATGTGCTTAAAAGAGAGAGGCTGTGGTGCCCACCTTCCCAGCATGCTTTCAGGGAAAGGACACTGTCTGCCTTCATAGCATCCTTTGGGACCCAGGAAGGTTATTCGTTTTGTCTTCTCTCTCTTGTTGTGTGTCAGCTAAACTAATCTCAGTGCGTTTCTTTAAATTTTAAGTGCTTTTATTGGATCTTTTTTTTATTATTGTGATCCATTAAAATTACGGTGCAGTTGGCAGGAGATTCTAACCCACTTGGTAGAAAGCCCAGGCTTTTTAGGTCAGCCATGGAAGAATTCAGCCTTGAATTCAAGAAAAAAGGCAGAAAATAGCCCAAATTCCTTTGGTTGTTTATGTTGGGCAAAGAAAGAAAAAAATGTTGATAGTACAAGGAGGGAAAAAAGCAGACTTGCTTAATATGTAGCACAGGGGTCCTCAAACTAAGGCCCGCGGGCCGGATACGGCCCTCCAAGGTCATTTACCTGGCCCTCGCTCAGGGTCAACCTAAGTCTGAAATGACTTGGAAGCACACAACAACAACAATAATCCTATCTCATCAGCCAAAAGCAGGCCCACACTTCCCCTTGAAATACTAATAAGTTTATATTTGTTGAAATCGTTCTTCATTTTAATTATTGTATTGTTTAAAGGTGTTTTTGCACTACAAATAAGATATGTGCAGCGTGCATAGGAATTCATTCATACTTTTTTCAAATTATAATACGGCCCTCCAACAGTTTGAGGGACTGTGACCTGGCCCTTTGTTTAAAAAGTTTGAGGACCCCTGATGTAGCACATCCTTTCTTATTGTAAATAAATACTTTTTTGAAAGGGTGGGAATTTAAAATGGGGTTTCTGTTGAGTCCACACATTTTCTCACAATGTCTCTTTGACTACACCTTGTTTGGGTTAAAGCTCTTCATTTTTTCTGGACACTTAGTCCAGCTCTACACTGCCATATAAAATCCAGATTATCATCTTTGAACTGGATTATACGGCAGTGTAGACTCAGATAATCTGGCTCAAAGCGGATGAAGTGGATTATCTGCATTGCTCATGTGGAATATTGTGTCCAATTCTGGACACCACAATTGAAGAGAGATATTGACAAGCTGGAATGTCTCAATAGGAGTATAGTGTCCGGCTTGGTTAGACTACACCTGGAATATTGTGTCCAGTTCTGGGCACCACAATTCAAGAGAGAGATTGACAAGCTGGAATGTGTCCAGAGGAGGGCGACTAAAATGATCAAGGGTCTGGAGAACAAGCCCTATGAGGAGCGGCTTAAGGAGCTGGGCATGTTTAGCCTGAAGAAGAGAAGGCTGAGAGGAGATATGAGCCATGCGTAGTATCTAGGCTTGGGCGGTTTCGTTCGTTAATTTCGTAATTCGTTATTAATTCGTATTTAAATTAGCTTACGATCCAATATTGAGCCATGCAGGAATAGTGTGAGGAGTAAATTAGATTCGAAACAATTTTTTCAATTTATTTCGTAATTATTTTGTAATTATTTCGTAATTATTTCGTAATTATTTCGTAATTATTTTCGCATGTCTGGTGCAAGTTTTATAGTTGTTGTTTGTTTTATCACACCAACAGTCAACAACAGAGGGAGAGGGAAGCTTCAGAAGTTCCTCCTGTCCCATTTGGAGGTTTTTTTTAGCATATTGCGCAATCTCGTCCGCCATTAACGAATCGATTCGTAATTTTACGAAATTTCGTAAATTTCGAAATTTTTTAAAGGAAAATTTCGGAATTATTTAAAAAAACGAAACGCAAGGGCCCCCTAAAAACGAAACGAGTTTAGAACCAAATTTTTCCGTGGTTACCCAAGCCTAATAGCCATGTATAAATATGTGAGAGGAAGCCACAGGGAGGAGGGAGCAAGCTTGTTTACTACTTCCATGGAGATTAGGACAAGGAACAATGGCTTCAAACTACAAGAGAGGAGATTCCATCTGAACATTAGGAAGAACTTCCTGACTGTGAGAGCCTTTCAGCAGTGGAACTCTCTGCGGTGGAGTGTGATGGAGGCTCCATCTTCGGAAGCTTTTAGGCTAAACATGCCCAGCTCTTCAAGCCCCTCCTCATGGGGCATGTTCTCCAGACCCTTGATAGTTTTAGTCGCCCTCCTCTAGACACATTCCAGCTTGTCAAATGTGGTGCCCAGAACTGGACACAATATTCCAGGTGTGGTCTAACCAAGGTAGAATAGAGGGATAGCATGACTTCCCTGGATCTAGACACTATGCTCCTATTGATGCAGGCCAAAATCCCATTGGCTTTTTTTGCCGCCGCATCACATTGTTGGCTCATGTTTAACTTGTTGTCCACAAGGACTCCAAGATCTTTTTCACACGTACTGCTCTCGAGCCATGTGGCTCCCATTCTGTATCTTTGCATTTCATTTTTTCTGCCTAAGTGGAGTATCTTGCATTTGTCACTGTTGAACTTCATTTCATTTCCCAGATCAGACAGCAGAGAAGCTTAGCTCTAAACCACTCATGAAATTGCAATTGACTTTCACATTAGTAGGACATAGGACTTCCTCCCTCTGTTCATTGTGCCAGCAGGTGTGACATAACTGTTGTAGCTGGGGAAAGTCCAGAACATACTGGGATAATGTTCATAGTGAGCATGAGCCAGGCAGTGATAGTTGCCCAATATGTCACTACCCACTTTAAAATGATGCCTCTTTGAAAAGATGGAAGACTAGCCCTAAGAGCAACTGCACCTGTGAAGAAAGCACTATTCCTCTGAAACGTCAGAGAAACAACACTTGGAAACACAATAGGGATAGGAGTAGACAATCATGTTATGTGGTTCCCTTCCCTGCCCACCTCGCTCCCCATTATTTATTTATTTTATTTATTTACCACATTTGTATACCGCCTTTCTCAGCCAGAGGCAACTTAAGGTAGTTCACAGTCGGCAGCGATTTGATGCCATAACAAATATAAAAATACAGTTAAAACAATTATAAAAAGAATTCAACATTTTAAATGTAATATAAAAAGCAAATATATCTGTAAAAACAAGATCCTCGACGTCTTCTTACTAAAATAAGTGTCCAGTTGAATCATCAGTCATTCCATATATTCATTTACATCTAATTATGCTCCAGTAGAAAAAGCCTGCTCGAAGAGCCAGGTCTTAACCATTTTGCAGAATGTTAGAAGGGAGGGAGCCGATCTTATATCCCTGGGGAGGGTGTTCCACAGCCAAGGGGCCACCACTGAGAAGGCCCTGTCTCTCGTCCCCGCCAAACACATCTGCTAGGAAGGCAGGATCGAGAGCAGGGCCTCCCCAGGTGATCTTTAAGTCCTAGATCAGTGGTTCTCAACCTGTGGGTCCCCAGATGTTTTGGCCTTCAACTCCCAGAAATCCTAACAGCTGATAAACTGGCTGGGATTTCTGGGAGTTGTAGGCCAAAACACCTGGAGACCCACAGGTTGGGAATCACTGTCCTAGATGGTTCATAAGGAGATATACGTTCGGATAGGTAAGCCGGACCAGAACCGTTTAGGGCAGTGTTTCTCAACCTGGGGGCCGGGACCCCTGCGGGGGTCGCCAGGAAGTGTCAGAGGGGTCGCCAAAGACCATCAGAAAACATAGTATTTTCTGTTGGTCATAGGGGTTCTGCGTGGGAAATTTGGTCCAACTTAATTGTTGGTGGGGTTCAGAATGCTCTTTGAGTGTAGGTGAACTATAAATCCCAGCAACTACAACTCACAAAGGTCAAGGTCTGTTTTCCCCAAATTCCACCAGTGGGCATATTGAGTATTCATGTAGAGTTTGGTCCAGATCCATCCTTGTTTGAGTCCACAGTCCTCTCTGGATGTAGGTGAACTACAATTCCCAAACTCAAGGTCATTGCCCACCAAACCCTTCCCGTGTTTTCTGTTGGCCATGGGAGTTTTGTGTGCCTAGTTTGGTTCAATTCCATCATTGCTGGAGTTCAGAATACTCTTTGACTGAAGGTTAACTATAAATCCCAGCAACTACAACTCCCAAATGACAAAATCAATCACCCCCCCCCCCCCCCCCCCCCCCCCCCCCCCCCCCCCCGCCCCAACCCCACCACTATTCAAATTTGGGCATATTGGGTATTTGTTCCAAATTTGGTCCAGTGAATGGAAATACCTCCTGCTTATCAGATAATTGTATTACAATTAACAACAGGAGCAAAATTATAGTTATGAAGTAGCAAAATGATGCTATGGTTGGGGGTCACCACAACATGAGGAAATGTATTAAGGGGTCACGGCATTAGGAAGGTTGAAAAACACTGGTTTAGGGTTTTATAGGCTATAGGTGCAGGTTATCACCTATAAAGCATTAAAACGGTTTGGGACCCACCTACCTTCGTGACCGTATCTCCCTCCATGAACCATCTCGGGCCCTCCGATCTTCTGGGGAGGCCCTTCTTTCGCCCCTGCCAGTTTCACAAGCTCGCCTAGCAAGTACAAGGAAGATTGCTTTCTCTTCTGTGCCCCCCCGACTCTGGAACTCATTGCCTGGAGAAATTAGGAAGGCCCCTACCCTAGAAACATTTTAAAAAGAACCTTAAAACCTGGCTCTTCCGCTGCGCCTTTGGTGAGTAGGCATGCGATCTCACATTATTGCATAGCCTCAACGCTGTTGTCACTGGAGTATACGTCCCCGTCCCCCCCCCCGTGGGAAAGCTTGATTCCACCACCCCTGATATAATGAGCCCTCCTCTGCAAATAACCTGCTTCTTTTTTATCTCACCCGAGTTTTTAATTAGTTTTTAATTAGTTTTTATTTTAATCATTACATGTAGCCCGCCCATTGTCTCTGTGTTTGTGCTTACTTTAATTTTATATTGTTATGTATTCACATGTTTTATGTAATTATGATTTTTCTGTTGATTGCTTGCGTTTTCAGTTTACTTAGTTGTATTTGTTGTTTGGGCTTGGCCTCATGTAAGCCGCTCCGAGTCCCCATTGGGGAGATGGTGGCGGGCTATGACCGCATTTCAGTGTACGAACCCACACGATCCCTTCGATCATCTGGAGAGGCCCTGCTTACGATCCCACCGGCATCGCAGGCACGATTGGTGGGGACGAGGGATAGGGCTTTCTCAGTAGTGGCCCCTCGACTCTGGAACTCTCTCCTTAAGGACATCAGGCAGGCCCCGTCACTAGTAATCTTGAAAACATGGATGTTCCAGTGTGCCTTTCCAGAATAAGGAAACTCCTAGCATTATGTCCCAACGCACTTTATTCAGAGATCTAGGATATCTGCACACCCACCCCCCTTCAAACACCCCACCTGTCATGCTCAGCACTTTTTAATTTTAATTTTAATTATTACATTTGGTCCGGCCATTGTTTTTAACTGTGTCATTGCGTGTTGTTAATGTTATTGCTTATTTTTGCTTTATT